CGTCGTTGAACAGCCGACCAAATTTTTGGGTTTACGACTACTAATGCAACTCCGTAGCCTTGTAATTTTGAACCCAATCCAGAAGACGAGGGAATTCCTGGATCAAGTATTGGGAGAAACAATTTTGATTTCGTGGAGGACTTTATGATGGTGGAACTAACTCGCATTTGCGTTACATGGAGAGGAAGACCACAAGATCCTCAGACTGTTAGCCTGACGGCAAGGGGACTCTAACCCATGATTTGTCTACCACTGAGGATATTTCACGTCAGCACAGTTGTCGGTGCAAGCCATATGCGGAATTCGTATCGACCAGCCGGGATCGAACCCCCGGTTCACCTCATTGAAAGGCGAACGCTCTATCCCCTGAGCAATCGCGGGCACACCAATTTTTTTTATTTTTTTTATATATATAACCGTCGTTAAACAGCCGACCCAATTGTTTTGGGTTTATTTGAAGTAATTACAACTAAGCAAATCAGCATAGCTTAATTTGGATAAAGACAATTAAAAAAAAGTCAAAAATCGGTACGCACTTTAACATTTCTATTTCCCCCCCCCCCAAAAAAAANCCCCCCCCCAAAAAAAAGAAGCACGTTGCACGAATCATTTTAAAGAAGATAGCAAAAAAAAATAAAATAATTGCCGTACTTTTTGTTAACACATTTGTTTTTAACTGTACTAATGTAGTAATTGGTTGAAACTATTAAGATAACTACCGTTCAAATAAAAAGTCATACTCCAATTGAGCAGGGAACGATCGCGTATGCATTTTTTTAGTACTACTGTACCATGCGTAGCTCTTTCACCAAGGCTACTATAGTCTTTGTAAATAGTATAGGCTTTTCAGGGTTACGCCATTTCCCCACTTTTCCCCTCTCCGTTACCATAGTATCCACAAATTTCGCTTTTTTCCCCACGCCAGTACGTTATTATAATAATATACAATTATGAGTTATCGATACTCCTTAACTGCTGTGTGAATAAAAAGAGTAGCATCGCTGCCTGGTACTACATCGTTATCAAAGCGACGAAGGTAGAAAATGGGATCCTCAGAGGCCAATTTTAATTATAAGAGGTTTTATTACCTGCCTATTTCCTCCATTTGCATATTTGCATCGTTATAAGAGACAAAAAGAAGAGATTTACAATTTATTCTGCAATCTGCTAATCTTAGAAGCATGTATAAGAGTTGAAATGACAAAAAAATTTGATCGAGAATAAAGATAATAAATGTACGACATGAGAAAGAAGATTCAATCGAAACCAACTCGCCAATAATGGAAAAAATGATATTTGTGACTGAAAACAAATGTAAAAACATAACATGCTAGTGTATAAAAATGGGAAAGCGTAACTTATAAGAAAATGACAAATGAATAAAATATGATAAGTAAGTGAAAGTTAGGATAAAAATTTGTATCATAAAAGAGATTAAACTTCAAATCACATCGGTTGAATTTTGATCAACTGATGTGAAAATTCAATCGAAACCATCAAAAAATTTGATCGAGAATAAAGATAATAAAGGAACGACATGACAAAGAGAATTCAATCGAAACCAACTTGCCAATAATGGCAAAAATGATGTGTAAAAATGAAATAACGAATAAAATATGATAAGCAAGTGAAAGTTAGGATAAAAATTTGTATCGTAAAAAAGATTAAACTTCAAATCACATCGGTTGAATTTTGAGCAACCGATGTGAAAATTAAATCGAAACCAACAAAAAATTTGATCGAGAATAAAGATAATAAAGGTACGACATGAGAAAGAAGAATTAATCGAAACCAACTCGCCAATAGTGGAAAAAATGATATTTTTGGCTGAAAACAAATGTAATAACATAACATGCTAGTGTATAAAAATGGGAAAGCGTAACTCATAAGAAAATGACAAATGAATAAAATATGATAAGTAAGTGAAAGTTAGGATAAAAATTTGTATCATAAAAAAGATTAAACTTCAAATCACATCGGTTGAATTTTGATCAACTGATGTGAAAATTCAATCTAAACCATCAAAAAATTTGATCGAGAATAAAGGTACGACATGACAAAGAGAATTCAATCGAAACCAACTTGCCAATAACGGCAAAAATGATTTGTAAAAATGAAATAACGAATAAAATATGATAAGCAAGTGAAAGTTAGGATAAAAATTTGTATCGTAAAAAAGATTAAACTTCAAATCACATCGGTTGAATTTTGATCAACCGATGTGAAAATTAAATCGAAACCAACAAAAAATTTGATCGAGAATAAAGATAATAAAGGTACGACATGAGAAAGAAGAATTAATCGAAACCAACTCGCCAATAGTGGAAAAAATGATATTTTTGGCTGAAAACAAATGTAATAACATAACATGCTAGTGTATAAAAATGGGAAAGCGTAACTCATAAGAAAATGACAAATGAATAAAATATGATAAGNTATTTAGCCTATACTGCTGAACGCAGAATATTCATTTCGGACGAATAATGGAAGAATCGTCTGCCGAAGACAAAACTTAATTCGTTTACATTCATCTTTCTTGTTTTCTGCCCTGGGAAGAGTTTATTCGATTAACAAAACAATCATGAAGATAAGCAAATTTGTGAAGGGTCCGATTAAAAGAAAAATCATTTTGTGAAGGGTCCGTTTTTAAGTTAAAATATTTTGTGAAGGGTCCGTTTTTATGATAACGATATTTTGTGAAGGGTCCGTTAACGGACCCAAATTTCTTCTAAACAGATCCCTGTGAACAATCCTTGCAATTAAAATCCAGACAAATGGACTGTTCTTCTAAAGCTTTTTCACTAGCAACATCTGAATAAAAAATTCTAGCTCTTTTTCATATAAGTTATTGAAATCCTAATAAATAAATATATAAAATAAGTATAAAGATATCGAAAAAAGTAAAATAAAATTGTGCTCGTGGACTGTTTTACCTCATTCTCTACAACCTGAGTGTACCTATCGCAAATACACTTGATTCATTGATTCGCTTTCTCCTTCTGCATATTTTTCTTTCTTTATTCCCTCGCTATATCACTAATCATTCACATGAAGCGGTTGGAGCAGGCGACTACAGGAAAATACTATAAGGTTGTCAAGTTACCATAGCCATAATTTTTTAGGCGAGGAGGAAAAATTTTTTTTAGTTATTTTAGAAACTTTTTGTAGCATTTTTTTTATTTCTTTATTTTTAGGATATTTTTAAATATTTAAGTGGATTTTCCTGCCAACTTTATATTTTCAGTACACAATTTTATTATAAAATAACAATACACTCATAACTACTGCTACGATATGGTAATTCGTCTTTTTCATTTATATGTGAGAATTTTGGAAAAACTTCTCAAGTGATGAAACTTTGAAAAGCAGTTCTCAGGTAGCAGAAAACAACCACTTTTACGTCAAAAATACGTTTATTGTACCATAAAAGTTTACTAAGCGTTCGTAAAATTTACGTAAAACTGAAACGTCGAATTATAGTAAAAAATGCTTACCCAAAAAACGCAACATTTTCTTAAAGAAATTAGTTTCCTTTAAGAATATTTTACCAACCGCTTTTTACTATGTAAGAATGAGTACGTTATTTTTACATATTTTTTATGTCAACGGTACGTCAAAATATTTTACCAACCGCTTTTTAATATGTAAGAATGAGTACGTAAAATTTAAGTAAAACTGAACAAGTAAAATTTAAAACGCTAAATTTTTGAAAACGAGTAAAATTTGCGTAAAACTGAAACGTCGAATTATAGTAAAAAATGCTTACCCAAAAAACGCAACATTTTCTTAAACAAATTAGTTTCCTTTAAGAATATTTTACCAATCGCTTTTTACTATGTAAGAATGAGTACGTTATCTTTACATATTTGTTACGTCAATGGTACGTCAAAATGTGTGTGAGTTGAAACGTGAAATTATAGAAGAAAGTGGTATTCCAAAAAAACAGAAAATTTGCATAAATAAATTCGAACCGAAATTTGAATGGGAAATTTGCTTTATTAATAATGCGCAAAATGTTCATACTTTGTACCCGGCATGACTGCCTGGCTGGACATCTATTTTCTATTGCTGTCCTCCCGCACCCCTTTTGTTATTTCTGTGGGGATTACGTCATCATGGATGGTCATCACATTTCACACTGCAGAGCATAGCACTTCGTGAGAGTTCCTTGGTCGAGCGTTAATGGGAGGCTCGAGGCCGAATGAGACAATGAAATTTTTTTTGTCCATGTCCTTCTTCTCCTTTATGTCAAGTTCTCTGCCATTGGAAATAAAATAAATAAAATAAAAAAATAACACTCAGAGTACACAGAATCATTTTTACTAAACCAAAATAAATAATTTTTCGTTAATATTAAGTAAAATATACCAAAAGCTTTTTTATACAATATATCAATGGTGGTATCATTCCGTCAATACTACGTAAAATTTACGTATAAAGCGTATTGTCTTCACCAATTTCCCAAAAATGTACCTTTAAATTACGTATAAAGCGTATTGTCTTCACCAATTTCCCAAAAATGTACGTTTAATTTACGTACAAAGCGTATTGTTTTCAACAATTTCCCAAAAGTGTACGTTTAATTTACGTATAAAGCGTATTGTCTTCATCAATTTCCCAAAAATGTACGTTTAATTTACCTATAAAGCGTATTGTCTTCACCAATTTCCCGAAAATGTACGTTTAATTTACGTATGAAGCGTATTGTCTTCATTAATTTCCCGAAAATGTACGTTTAATTTACATATTCATCCATCATTGGTGGAGAATGAGTTTACCATTGACTAAAAAGTCACGTTATGAAAAAAAAAATTTTGTTCCAACATTTTTATTTGAAATAAACCTAATCCTTTTTTCTTTTTTGTATTTTTAGCTTGCATACTAATAACGAAAAGAAGGACAACATTTTAATTCATTTCTTCCAGAAACTAATATTCAGTGATTTATTAATGGGTCTTTATTTGCTAACTTAGTTTCGTTTTTTTTAAAATTTTTTTTAGAACTCATCATGGCTTCCTAAATCTCTAAATGAGGAAATAATCTCTGTGATAAGCCCACTTTTGGAATTGACTCAACCAACCCCAGAAATCTGTGACTTTCTGACTAAGGTAAGCAAATTTTATGTAACAAACTGATGTGCCAAAATTTCCTGTTAATATTTCTATCGTTTTATGATCCTCAAAATTCGTTGATATTTTAGGTTTTTAAATTTTTCCCCCATTTTATCTGAAGCAGCTTACTCTCAGTTCATAGTCAGTTCAGGTCTTGCATTTGTGAGATTTTAAAAATAAATTTTAGTTACATTACATTTTTAATTTTCGAACGAAGTGTGACTATAATAATTGAATTAATTGGCAATAGTCCCGCAGTGGACTGATCGTTAAGACATGGTTCCCAGCAGATCACCGAAGTCAAGCATCACTGGCTACGGTCAGTGTGCGGGTGGGTGACCACTTGGATCAGTTTGAGTAGGGACAGAGGGTGTGCGGTATTGGTCCTCGTTAAACTGTGCTACCGTAAAGTGCTCGACTTCGCGCGCAGGTCGTCGGGCTACCGAAGCGGGGGTGCCATCCCCTCCGCAGAGGATCAAAATTGTGATGGCATGTCTTCGGATCATCCTCCGGGATGTTTCCCAGACCGTCGCCAATAGCCCATTGTGCAGCTCTAGTGCGACGTAAATTAACAACAACAACAACAAATAATTGGCTATAGTAAAGTTGTTATCCGTTACTTGATAAACAATTACAGCACAACATGCTGCCTCCCCGGCCGAGCGGTATCTCCGACCAAACGCTGTGCAAAGCGTGGAGGTAGCGGGTTCGAATCCCGCCGTAACCCTTCGTGATATCCTTCTCTGAATTGTTCTGTCTGTCTTTCTATTTGACTTATCTTAACTTATCTTTCTATTTGATTTATGTGACGAAGGCTTATAAGCCTAAATTGAGCACACAAGTATGTACAAATGTATGTAATTTCAATACTAACAAAACAAAATAACAAATAAAGCAAACCTGATTTTGAACCTTATTTATAAAAGTAAGCTGTGAGCACGATAGGTGGCCATCGAGTTGCATTTGAAACTTGGCATTGGTTTTAGTTTAATATATGTTCTTCTCAAGTTGATTATCTACTGGTATATACGGGTTGCATGAACCCGAATTAACCTAGTGATCTTTAATTCTTTTTCCGTCAGACCTTTCCATTTTTATCATTCAACAGATTGCCTTGAAATTGGTGGTGATTTTAGAGCAATGTTGTTACACAGTTTAGAAGAAAGTAGAGATGACTTCAGTTTTAACCACTAGGTGGCGTTGTAAACTATTTCATCAAATAGCTGTAAATCGTTTTTTTTTTTTTTTTTTTTTTCCTCCCTAAACTCTAACACCAGTTTTATAACCATCTTATACAAAACTGTGGTTGTTCAGGCCATAGAGCGTTCGCCTCCCAATGAGGTGAACCGGGTTCGAATCCCAGCAATGGCTGATTGATACGAATTCCGCATCCCGCTTACACCGACCACAGTGCTGCCGAGAAATATCCTCAGTGGTAGACGGATCATGGGTTAGCGTCCCTTTGTCTTCATGTTAACCGTGGGTGGTTTTCGTAGTTTTCTTCTCCATGTAACGCAAATGCATGTCAGTTCCATCAAAAAATCCGCTACGAAGGCAAATTTCTCCCAATACCTAATCTAGGAGTTACCTTGTCTTCTGGATTGGGTTCAAAATTACAAGGCTACGGAGTTGAACATTAGTAGACGTAAGCCCAAAAATTGGGTTGGCTGTTCAACACTGCTTATAAAATAAAATTAAAGATACTGTTTTACAAAGCCGTGGTGGCCCAGGGTATAGAGCGTTTACCTTCCAATGAGGTGAACCAGGTTCGAATCCCAGCGATGGTTTCGAACCGGACCCGACACCGTCAAGCTAACTGTGCGAGGTGTTCGTGGATTTCCTCCCTATGTAACGCAAATGCGGGTTAGTTCCATCAAAAAATCCTCCATGAAGGCAAATTTCTCCCAATACTTTATCCAGGATTTTCCTTGTCTTCTGGATTGGGTTCAAAATTACAAAACTGCAGAGTTGAACATTAGTAGTCTTATACTCAAAATTGGGTCTGCAGTTCAACGACGGTTAGAAAATAAAATGCTATTATACAACGTAAGTATTTTCTTTCGAAACCTATTAGACTCTTAATAATTCCATGGGAAGTATACTTGTATATTAATTTTTAAACGTCGATGAGAAACTATTTTTTCATTTGTATTTTCACTTACGACTACCTGCTGATAACGTCAAAAAATTAAAAAAATACCGACGAAGGCTTTTTTTTTACATAAATGTGGGTAACCGTAAAAATTTACGTGGGGACAAGAAACTAGGATGAAATTGGGGAGCTATTTTTAATTAAGTTATTTTGGGGAACTAAAATTAGGTAAAATTTTGAAAACCCAATATATTTTCACCTAAAAAATTTTCTTAAAATCAAATTAATTTTAGGTAATAAGTTGAATGAATTTATTTTCATAAAGCTATCCCCAAAATATTTTTACCCTTCTAGAATAAAAATGGTCCTATAAACTGTTAAAATAAAATTTTATCCCGTGGAATATGTTCCAGTCTAATTACTTATTCAATTAAAATATTTTTTAACTTACCAACTTTTTTGTTACCTCAATCCAATCTAAAAATTCATTTCAAAGAATTTTTTTATTTGAGCGTAATTTCTTCTCTTCAGAGAAATGTTCTTATTTATTTCATTCCGAGAAATTTAGAGAAGTTTAGTTGTAGGCAGGGTGAAACTTTTCCCAAAAGCAACAGAAAAAGAAACAGGAAAAAAGATTATTGAATAGAAGTCTGATTAACGAAGCTAAACAATTCGTGGAAAAGCAACGATCTCCTATTTCGGCAATATTTGCTCTGCACTAACAGCATTTCTGCGGTCTCGTATATCGATCGCCTGTCGTTGTTGGCATAACTTTAGACTCTTTACTCCTAATTACTTCATGGTTGGATCTCTTTTAAGTGGGGGAACATGCCTTCGCACTTTCAATACAAGCAGGGAGTCTTGACATAATAGCTTGTGACATTTGCATTTCGGTTCTCCGAAGAAATATCCAATTGAAAGGGGGGTGCGTTCGTATTAAAGGTATTTTATTGGATAAGTGTTTTATTTTGTTGCCTTCCAATATATTTTTGCTTTAATAGATTAAAGTTATTTATTTCAACTGAATGTCAGAGAAAACAAATGTCTTTTTTTAAATGTTAATTTCATTACGTTGAGCCTTTTAAATGTTAATTTCATTACGTTAAGCCTTGCCGTTACCGCACACATTCAACTATCATTCTCAGAAATGCATCTTTTTTTTTCAATTGTTAATGACTGCCATATAAAATTGAGCTCCAGTCGTATGCTTGGAAGTGAAAATTATCCCATTTTGTAACAGTTTTTCCATGAAAACTCGACTGCTGTAACCGTTATTTCCCATTACGACATTTTTTTTCTTTCCAAAAAAATAAAATAAATTGATACATTATCTGGAATGTTTCACCTGAACTGAATAATTAAAAATAAATTCATTAGTACACTTTGTACTGCAGGTGTTCCTTTATTTTATTAAATAAAATGTGCAGGACCAGCTTGTTTACTGGCAACGAAAATTGTCGTGACCTTTATTCCAAATTCGATGATTTTCAAACATTTTTGAGCAAACTAATTTTTAAAACATTGCAAGCGGGTCACGTAAAAATACTTTTTTGAAATTTCTACAATCCATACAAAAGTTTGTTGTTGTTGTTTCTAATACGATTTGCCACACGGGCAAGCCTGCTTTGGTGAAACAGAGCAAATTTAAGGCAGAGTGTGCGTTTCTTGTTTCTCAGTGGCGCCATCTATGGCCAAGAATTCAACTTCTGCCACACCATACGTCGCACCCGTTTATAGGGCGGACCCATTCATTCATACATCCACTCAGTCATCCACAGATCGTAATTTTAGCCTGAATCAGATAACGATCGATCTCCAATCCAGTACCCCCAGAGGTTTTGATTTGTTATGGGAACATGGAAGACTTTTGCGACTCGACAGATTTAACGTGCATCAGTCACTTTACTACACAGGGAGTCTTTTCGCTGGCTGGGTTCGAACCCACTAACTCTCGGTCATGGGCCCAGCGCCCTACCGACCAGGCTATCCCACTTCTTATACAAAAGTTAGAAAAGTGGTAGCAAAACTACTTCGTTTCCACTTTGTTTTTCAAAGAAATTATCTCTTCGTGAGTGCCACAAACATAAATGATTCAGTATATATGTAATCAGTGCTACAATCGCTCGTAGTAATTATTTTTAAAATTGAAGTCGTAGCTATAGAGATAAGATTTCATAAGAGCTGGAGGAAACTTACCTACCACTTTTTTTAACATTTTAATCTCTAACAGCTGTAATACATTTTTTGGAAAAGTTACCCCCATGCAATGTGTTAAGATGCAGTTTCTCCAAAGAATCTGATAGTGAGTAATAAGGAATTAGTTTTTTAAGAACAGTGGCAATTGACCATTAAAAGAGATTTTTGTTCGAAAAGGATGTGAGGACGACTATAGCTGTTACTTTCGGCAACGTGTTAAAAACATGGAATAATTTGAAGTGCTGTAGACTTTTTTTGCTTATTAAAACGACAGAGGCAAGTTTTGTAAGTGTAAAGTATATGCCAACATGAAAGTTAATTAAAAAACGAGTGCTTTTTAGAAATCTTGTTGAGGAATGTGCTCAAATTTTCTGTAAATGAGATTCACTTAACAAGGGGGCATGATATGACAATTCTCAATTACTTATAAATATTAGATTTTATAATCTTTTTTAAAAATATTGTTAGCAAACATCATTAATTTTTATAGTCTATATAAATTTATAATCATAATAATTCCTTGTATCAAAACTTACAAAATGATTTAGAACGAAAAAGTATTCTGGATGCAAACGATAAAAAAAAATCTATAAGAATAGAATAAAAAAAGCCCATAGGAATAGTCTATAAGAATAACTTCATTTAGTAAAAAATCTAAATCTGAAAATTAAATAAAGGATGTTTAACTACATATTTTTAAATAAAATAATTAAGATAAAAAAAATTACATTCACACGATTCAAATATAACCAAAGAAATCTTTCTTTAAACTGCGAAAAAGATCAGAAAAGTTTTCCTGTAATGTATTATAAAATTATTCCTATAAAATATATTAAAATTGAGTTAGTTGTTGATTACAACTGTAACTTAAGATTAAATCACACAACTCCATTACAATCAATACTAACTGAAAAATTTTAGAAATAATACTAGTCAGGGGTTTGTTTAGAAGAAATTTGGGTCCGTTAACGGACTCTTCATAAAATATCTTTTCATAAAAACGGACCTTCAAAAAATATTTTAACTTAAAAACGGATCCTTCAAAAAATAATTTACCTTTTAATCGGACCCTTCGCAAATTTGTTTATCTTAATTATTGTTTTGTTAATCGAATAAACCCTTCCCAGGATGGGGGGGGAGATGTANGGGGGGGGGGGAGAAAGACAGATGTAAAAGAACTAAATTTTGTTTTTTGTAGACGCTTCTTCCTTTATTCGTCCGAAATGAACATTCTGCGTTCAGCAATATAGGCTAAATACCAAATATTTGTATGTTGCATCTAATTTAGTAGCAGCTGTTTATTTTTAAATTATAATTTTACAGTGTTGCTCATAATCTTGTATGTTATTTACAATTTAAAAATTCCTTGAAAAAGTTTTATTGCAATAACAGGACCCTATTTGCACAAATTTACAAAAGCAGGACCCTGGTTGAACGAATGTGACTTAACGTTTATTTTATATTCACAAATTACGAGTAATTTTTTCACAATTTTACAAAAACGGACCTTTCACAAAATGTCTGGACAGACACCTGCTAGTACTTTCACCGTTATAAGTTTTTTAGTACAATTAGACCTCATGTAAAACGCCTATAGGTCATCGGCTTGTAGACCAATTAAAAATAAAGTTTGCTTATTGTATCAATAATAGCTAATACAAAAGTTGAACTTGCAGTATGTTAAATCTTTAAGGCTACAGTGGACGTTCAAAAAAAATTTTTTTAGTTTTTATGCTACACTAAAACTTTTTATATAACTTATGTATTCTATCAAGATATGCCCTTGCAAAAATTTTTATAAAAAATATTTGGACCATTTTTGAGAAATTTAAAATTTTTTAAAAAAAATTTCATGAATTTTAAAATGCTCCCAGCGGCTTAAATTAAAATTTTTATTTATTTTTTTTTAATATTCTTTTTTTAGAGATAAATGTTAAAAGCTTTATGCATTATATAGGAATTTTTCTAAATTTATTTTAAATTTATGACCAAAAAACAAATTTTATGTAGATTTTTGTTTCAAAATAAAGGTCGTTAGGTACATGAAACCCTATAACTCTTTTATTACTTGTTATAAAACAGAAACAAATGCATAAACTTAATCTAATATACATATAAATAACTAGAAAAAAATTTCATATCAATAGGATGAAAACAAAGTCGACTGGAACATTTTGAATACGTGAAACATAACAAAATTTCAATTTTGAGAAAAACAGCTTTTTGTGTAAGAAAAGGGGCGTGGCTTCATAATGTGAAAACGAAACTACCCTATAACTTCTCAAAAAATGACGAAATTAAAAAAAAAAAAATTCAGTTGAAAAAGCAATGAAACAAGTGTCTAAATATGTCCAAAAAAAACCCGAAATTTTTATCAATTTTTGGCAATATAAAGGTCCACTGTAGCCTTAAATAGCTGTGTTTTACTTAAGAATTTTTTATTTATTTCCAGTATTGTAGAGAAAATCCTAGATCTCGTATTGTGTTAGAAATGTTTACTCCTATTATACAAAGGATAATGAAGCATAATATGGTAAGGAAAAATATTTTTAAATATCTTTAATTTATTACTCAATCGAATATAGATATTGTAAAGTTATTTGAATTCTAAATTGATAAGAGTGTATTCAATTAATATTAAATTGGTACTTAAACTAGATGTAAAATAGAAAAATATCCAAATCAGGAATGAACAGTTAATTATCTCTTTCTTCTAGGATTTTGGAAAGTACCCCAAAAGTAGACTTTTTGTGCAAGAATATATACAAGCCTTAAGTTATCAAAATGATGGGAAAAAAGTCCTGGAAAAATACATTAGCAGGTAAGTTAAATGAGATTTTCTATTTCTCTCTGTCAGGCAAACTTCTATATCTTTGGTTTATATAAATCAACACTGGGCAATATCTAACTGATAATTATCTAGTCGGTGAGCCTTTTATTCCGGACACAGCTCTAAATTCGTGTTTTAGAAAATGGGCAAATCTCAAAATTCGTGTTTTAGAAAGTGGACACAACTCAAAATTTGTGTTTTAGGAAGTGAACACAGCTTAAAATGCGTGTTTAGACAAATGAACACAGCTCAATATTCGTCTTTTAGAAAATGGACACAACTCAAAATTTGTGTTTTAGGAAGTGAACACAGCTTAAATTGCATATTGAAGAAAATGGACGTGGTTCAAAATACGTGTTTAAAAAAATGAACGAGTGAGTGAACAAAATGAGTTATTTTTTTAAAAATTTGGACACAGTTCAAAAGGCGTGTTTTCAGTGTTCAAGCAAAATCTAATAACTATATAAATTTTAGTTTAAAACTAAACTAAGTAAATTTTTCTGGTTCAGGGTGGTTGTGTATATTACAGATGTAACTTTTCCAGTGATATCTTCACTTCTCAAAACGGTAAAGCGGGAAGTAATGAGTTTTAAATACATACCTTTTTTGAAATTCGATTTCTCAGTAATTATTAGATTTCATTTCATTCGAAATGTGTATTAGACCATCATAAATTAGATTCTTTGAAATTATCTAAAAATTTGTATACCTTGGAGTTCAAAATTTTATTAGACTATAATTAAATATAATAATAAATAATTATAAAAATTTTTTTTGCGTGAAATTATTTTTGAGTAAATAATTTTCGTAATTGTGTGCAAATATTTTTGTTTCCATTCACTTAAAATGTTTTCGAAATACGCAAAAAGTAAAATTCACATTATGGGGTTCAAACTTCAAACGTCCCGCAGTGGACTGATCGTTAAGACACGGTTACCAGCAGATCCCCGAAGTCAAGCATCACTGGCTACGGTCAGTGTGCGTGTGGGTGACCACTTGGATCAGTCTGCGTAGGGACCGAGGGTGTGCGGTATTGGTCCTCGTGAACTGTCCTACCGTAAAGTGCTCGACTTCGCGTGCAGGTCGTCGGGCTACGGAAGCGTGGGGGGGGATCCCCTCTGCAGAGGATCAAAATTGTGATGGCATGTCTTCGGATCATCCTCGCCAATAGCCCATTGTGCAGCTCTAGTGCGACGTAAATGAACTACAACAACAAACTTCAGACCGCTTTCCTAACCAAACTATTGGAACTATATTTCCCTGATTGTGGCTATCCTCCATATTTTGGGGGTGAGAAATACAATTACGTCGAAAAAAAGGTATGCTTATTCAGAGAAAGTACGTTTTTGTGTATAATTGCGTAACTTAAAATATCGACTTCACAAATTAACTAGTATATGTGAACTCCATCGAACCTTTAAAATTGAGTGTTAGCGAAAATCCTATCATTAGCCAAAAGTTATTTAGGGTACTAGCTTTTTTTCTCACTGTACACAGAAACACTTTCTTCAATTGCAGAAGCATAAAAATTTAAAGCCAGAAGTGTTAAGGAGCAAATCCTTTAATTCTTCTTGCCTAGTTAGCTTGCAAAATTCATTTAATTTGTCAATGATTTCATTTTCATTGGTTCAAATTCGAAGCAAAAGTTTTGTTTTCTTAATTTTTTTCTTCTTTTAACTTAAGAAAAAAGATCTAAAAAAAAATGAATCAAGATAATCTGAATAAAGATAAAGAAATAATATTTAAATTTCCCCGTTTATGAATTCTTATGTTGGTGTTAAGCATTAATTAGATGCTTGGATACTTTTGATTAAAATAGGGAGAAAATTCTATGGTAAGTTTGTCTAAAAGAATTTAATTTAAGATCTATTCTTGTGTTACTCCTTACTAGCATTTTTTTAATTAGAGTGTGATTTAAAATGTTTCATTTGGCAAAAGTATAATACATAAAAACAGCTGATTTGATTTAAAAATGTGACACCTACCATCGCATATCCCGTCTTAAGAATTATTATTATATGAGAGTTAATGTCTTTTTACAGGGTGCGTAGCATTTTTAGGAAGTGCTTAAAGGTGCTTATTTTCGATTTTCTTTTTTTAAAAGGCATTAAAGGTGCTTTTTTCATTGGGTGCTTTTAAAAAGTGCTTTATTTTCCATTTTTCAAAATGAAATTTTTCCTTTACCATGTTGATTTTCGCTTCGAATTATGCAAAAAGACACAGTTCACATTGTTCTATTCAACGTTTTCACAATTAATTCAACCCCAATCTATTTCGGTATATTGTCAGTCTGTAGCGTATGAAAACGCCATTCGTTTTACATGATTCGAAATTTCATGGTTTTTGCCAATTGTCAAAAACAAAGCCAAGAGGTTTAATTTTTTTGACATAACGGTTAAAGCTAGATAAAACCGTCAATTTTCAAAAACATTCCTACCCTGCCTAATTATGATATTTTTTACAGTGCTTACGATTTTTTTGAGTGCTTGAAAAGTGCTTAAAAGGTGCTCATTTTTTGTTGAATAATTTGGCTGCGCACCCTGTTTTAATATCCTTTTTTTTTCTTCTTTCTTTTAGTATCCATGGTATATCTAGAATGCCTTTTTAAGATCCTTTTTTTCTTTTTTCTTTTAGTATCCATGGTATATCTAGAATGTGTTTTTAATATCCTTTTTTCGTTCTCTCTTTTAGTATCCATGGTATATCTAGTTCATGTCCTCATCCACGAGTGCTTCCTAACTTAGTATCTGTGTGTCTTGCTGCCATCTATGCTTTGTATGAAGAAAAGCGGAAGTAAATTTTTAATTTTATTTTTTCTTTTTTATCCTGATTTAGTTTCCTATTCTGATACAGGTTCTTTTATATAACATAAAAGTTGCTGTTTATGTACTTACAGTAATTAAATAAATTTGGATATTATAAAAGAAAAACTGTAACATGGCCATTCCAGAGAGCCCTTATTAATTTAAGGGCTCTAAATAACTTATTAAATAGATAAATAACAAAAAAATATCTTTTGACGTAACTTTTAAATAATTACCGATGCTTCAGTGAGAATTTTACTAAAATTTGATAAAACTTTAAAGTTTGATATTTTTTTTACGCAATTCAATTTTATAAGTGTTAAAAATAAAATAAAGCGCTCTCTCTCTCTATTATTTATTTATTTTTAAACTTAAGCGCACTCAAATGTTAAGCTCCTTTACAATAAGATCAATTTCGATTTTCCTTGCATTTTTTCAACTTCACTGCGCTATGTGTGTTATTGCAGTAAAACTACATATACAGATTATACAAAAAAAAATATTCTTATTCGTTTGATGTTTATAAGGAATTGAATTTTTGTAATTCGTAATAACCTCCGGTGTATTTTAATAATCTTATTAATGCTTTTCTTACAATAAAAATAATAGCTGCAGCAGATTGGTTGCATCAAATCCAAACGGAAACTTGATTAAAAAATGTGTTTTTTGAGTATTTGCCTGAATTTTTTAGCAAGTGTGCTGTGGTGCTGCCATCTTTTGATAAACTTATGCATTTTTCTAACGTCTAAACATCTGAAAATTAATAATTTTTTTGATCAACTTGGTATCCTGTATTTTATCTATTTATTTTATTAAAAATTATATTTTTAATAAAAGTATGTAAAAGTATTTAATTAAAATTTTAAACAGAATTTTTATACAGCTTTTTTATTTTTTTTATTTTTATACAAAACTTTTTTTAAAAGTTTATTAATTTCTTATTTATTTATTTTTTTTGAAGTTATGCAGATTTGCGCAAAACTGCATACTAACGTTTTAGAATTTTTTTTCAAACAACCTAAATAATTGATTAATTTATTATTGAATATTGTGTTTTCAGTGTCCAATTTTATTATTAGTTTCTTATAAGTAAATAATTACATTATATATATTTTTATTTCGAAGAACGAAGAAATTAAAACTTCTAAGAACAAATTTTCTTATTCTGTTTTTTCTTGTATACTTTAAGACACTTCCGTTCTTAACTACTAATAATTTCTTATAGAATTTATTATACATTTTAATTGTGGAATGAGAATTTTGTAGTACTTTTCATAACATTATGGCGATATTTTAAACTAGAACGATATACAGGATGTAAAGTAATCACCATACTTCATATACACTATTATAACCACTGTCAAAAATGCATCAAAAAATATACAATGCGGGTCACAAGTTAATGTTCAAGAAGAGAAAGAAGTTTTAAGACAATTATTTGAAACACACCGAATAAGCCTCATGTGATACATACTCTAGCTTCAATGACTTTAATCCCGTCCTTGCTTAAATATCAATCAATTCTACGCTTTAATATCAGCTTGCGACTCCTTACATGCATACTTTTTTGGTTTAATTCTCGACAGGAATTTTAAAAATGCAGAGGGCACCATAATGACCGCATCAGATCAATAATATTTAAGCCGAAATTAAATTCATATTTAAGCCGAAGATCGTTTTTAAGTCTGTCAAATCACTAATATCACAAGTATTTTAAATATAGATGTATATGCATGCATGCAAAAGGTGGTCTTTACGGAACCCTTTGTATATATTAAGGGCGGTGATTATATAAAACTTCGCTTAACACTTTTTTAAAAGTGTAACGACGCACACACACACACACACACACACACATATATATATATATATATATATATATATATATAAAACACAAAAAAAAATTATAAAATGAAATAGAAAAATTTTTTCAATGGAGGACCGCAAAGGTTCTCTTCAGGGCGCATTCATTTACAATGGTAAAAGCAATATTTCAAATATATATTGATTAAATTTCAGCTGGACTGCAGAAGATAGGAATGATATCTCGGTGCTAAATAGCGATTGGGAAACGCGGCTAAATTGCTTTGTATACATTCTTGAGATCATGTAAGTTGAATATTTACATCATAAATTATAACATAGCGTAAAAGTTTGAACTATGCTAACTTTGTGTGTTATTTTCTTTGTTTAGTTCCTCATATGAAGATTGGATGCCTGGATTGTCGCAACTCCTTCAGCCCATTCCATTTCCTGATGAGTAAGTTACTATAAATTTAAAATCTGATTTTACCATTGTTTGGTTTACGGTAAAAATTGCTCTTGGTCTTTCGCCATCTTCAATTTTGGAATTTCGTTTTTTGGTGATAAAAAAATTATTTCATAGCGAGGGGAAAAATTAAAAGTGAGCTTCCACGTATTGGATGGTAAAAAAACTGCTCTTGATAACTTGACAAACTTTACTGGCTTTGGTCGGATAATTTATTATTATGATTTTGAAATATTAACTTAATTTATAATTTTAAAATATCGTTTCAAGTCGCCGTAAAAGAAATTGGAGTAAGCGGATATTACTTAACTTTCAGTCCGTTGGAATTATCTAGGGCGATAATTGTTTATCATTTAAGAGAGATAGGGTTAAGAAGAGTTTTATATTAAAGTAACGGACAACTGAGTTAAAACCCGTAAATTTTTAGGTTTAATCAGGGACCTAGTAATGATGTGAATTTGATAAAATAGGTTGTATTGTTTCGAAGATTTTGAATTATTTATGGAACAGTTTTTTTTGTAATCATAATTTTTTTACAATAGAGAAATTTTTTTAAAAAGACTTGGACTAGTAATGCATAACCAATATATTTCATAATAAGTAAAATTTTATTAAAAATTAAAAAAATTAACTAACTAAATAATTTTAAAAAGAAATTACAAACTATTGCTTGAATATTATGTGAAGTATAGAATAAACTTCACTCTTCTTTTTGTAAATGTGGAGAACAGCTGGTATATTTTTTTATTTTTTTTTTTAAAGAAAATTGTATGATTATTATTTTCTAAAATATGCATATCATGCTTCATAGAATAATATATTAATCGAAAAAGTTTTTACTTTATAAAAATAATTATTTTTTACGTTATATACTTATTTAAAAGTTAGAAATGGAAAATTTTGAAATTTAGAATCTATGTATAAAGTTTTAAAAATGTTAAGGCTTGTAATGAAAGTAAAGCTCTGTATTTATAGAATTATTTATATTCTTTTTTATTTTTTCCAGCGCCATTGCAGATTCCTTTTTCACTAAGTAAGTATAAATACAATACATATTTTTTTTAAAAAAAAATTCTTTTTATTTATTTATAATTACTTTACTTTCTAAACTTCTATTTATTCACTATTTAAGCACTGCTATTAGAATTTTTTTATTTTAAGTTTCACATTTTGTTCCATTACAAAATTTTAAAAGTTGTGTCATTAATTTTAAGCTAAAAAAAAAGAAGTTTTATAAACGTAATTTTATTTTATGAATTATGTATTTCGAATGCTAAAAGTTTAAACTTAAAGTTTGTATGTCTATCTAAAAATCAACATATGCATTTTAATTGTTAAATATATAAATTTGTAGAAGTGAATGCTTTAAATAGTAAAGTTTGAATTGTTTTAACACCAACCAAGATGCATGCTTATACCAGTTCGAACATTTTTACATTTATTTAATTCTATCTACTTTTATTAGTAAATAAGACTAAGTGTTTCTCATAACTGAATTACTTAATAACAGGAGCTTGAAACTGATTATCGAGCGTATCGCCACTGATGAACGGTGTGATGTTCATCTTACAGTGCTTGGCATGCGAGATGAAAAGGATGGTTGGTTGCATTTGTACTGTCCTGGTGGAATGGCGTGTGATGACGAAGGGGAACTATGGAGTAAAATGGTAACTTACACACTTGTTTATTATAACTTGAAGCAGAAATGAGTCTAAGGCAGTTCACCAGATACTTTACCCATGGGTCTGTTTAGAAGAAATTTGGGTCTTTTAACGGACCCTTCACAAAATAATTTATCTTTTAATTGGACCCTTCACGAATTTGTTTATCTTCATTATTGTTTTGTTAATCGACTAATCCCTTCCCAGGGCAGAAAACAAGAAAGATGGATGTAAACGAATTAAGTTTTGTCTTCGGCAGACGATTCTTTCATTATTCATCCGANCTTTCTTTGAAAGAAACGCGCTTAAAAGCAGCAGAATTTTCAAAAGAAAGAATAATTGGAGCAATAAAGAAAAAAACAATGGATAAGTTTTCCAAGTTTCCCTAAGTTTAAATTCCAAATGCAGTATTCTAAGAAAATATTTCTACTTTTACAAACATCATGTGCGCATTCTTATTAATATGAAATCATATTTTTTTGTAAATAAATAATAAAGAAATTTGTATTTATTCATGAAATTAATTAATAGAATATTATGTAAATAAAAATTAATTTCTGGCAATTTTTTAAATAAAATATTATAAATTTAAGAATTGTTCAAATTTACTTAATGCGTAATTCATTAAAAGTGATGTATAACTAAGTTGTGTTATTTAAAATATGTCAATTGAAATTGTTAAAAATGTGAGTGATTTAGTTTCCATCATTCGTCCGAAATAAATATTCTGCGTTGAGCAGTATAGGCTAAATACCAAATAATTGTAAGTTGCATCTCTAATTTAGTAGCTGCAATTGTTGAGCTTGTATCTATTTACAATTTAAAAGCTTCTTGAAAAGGTTTTTAGCAATTTTTGAAATAACAGGACCCTATTTGCACAAATTCACAAAGGCAGGACCCTGGTAGAAAGAATGTGACTTAACGCTTATTTTATATTCACAAATTATGAGTAGTTTTTTCACAATTTTACAAAAACAGGACCTTTTACAAAATGTCTGGACAGATCCCTGCTTTATCTATTTCTTGCATTTTGCAGACGCACCGTAAATACTTTATGTATCCATTTCCTGCACCGAATGCTTTGCAAATCCATATAAATAATAACTAAATCAAATTATATTAAAACTTTATTAAAAGTTACAACAGAATTGATTGCACCCGATACTTTATCCAGTTCCTTTTTTTATGCCTCGTTTACCATACCGATTTATGCAAATGCTAACTAATCCATGCCATATTGAAACTTAAATATTACTCACCACAGAATTTATTCTCGAATACTTCACGAGATACTTTACACAATACTTGCATTGTTAGCGGATACTTTGCCTACCTAACTTTTGCATCGTATACTTTACCTATTTATAATAGTAAAGCATCCGTAATTATGTATGGTGAAGTAACTCCCATTATATGTAAACTTCTTTTTTTTTATTTACCATGGAATATATTATTGAAAACTTCTCCCGATACCTATTAATAATTCTTGCAATTATTTTTAGAAGTGGTACTCCATTGATAAAGCTAAATTATTTCATCACTTTTTTTCTCATTTTAGTTTCTTTTCTATATTTTTATATTAAAATGTTACTAAAACCTTTTATTATTTTGAAAGGTCATACTTTGAGTAGTGCAATTGAAATAAATATAATTATTGATGTTAGCATTTCTTTATAATCTAAATTTAACGATGAAGGGAAATTCATCTTTTTTTAAACAGACAAAAAACAAACTCTTTTTAGTTTAAGTCAACCTGATTAATAAACTAAACCACTTGATTACATTTTTTTATGCCACTGTATAGCGACCTCAAGGAAGTATGAAGTACCTCATGTTTTTTTTTAATATGTTTCGAAACATTAAAATTTAAGTTAGCTTTGGAGTTATAATTAAGCATGAAATCTAATTATTTGAATTTGTTTTGCAGTTGAAAAGTCTGTTAGATTGTTGTTGTCGGCGTAAAAAATTTCTGGAGGGTTTAGCTAAAAGCATCAGTCCGTGCATGCTGCGAGCGCTGAGAGATGACCACACTCTGCAATCTGCATTGTGTTCTATGCTGGAATTGGAAGTGCTTGACAACAACGATCTACAAATGCAGATCATCATGACACTTCAAAGTACACCTGCAGGAAAACAAAATTACGCGGCTCTTTGCCAAAGACAACAGCATTTGCGTGAACTGGTGATTATAACTTTTTCAGTTTTCTAAAAACCGCAGTTTCTGTCCAATCTTCAAATACTTTTTAAAAATAAAATATTTCTTTAAAAAAAGTTTTACAAATCTTCAAAAGTGAGAAAAAGAATGAGTTTTTGTCTTCGTAAACAGTTTGCAAAATGGCATATTCTCACAATCTTTTTTAGAGAATTACTTTAATTTTTTATTTTCTGATCAGGAAAAGTGCTTATTTTTTGTTGAATAATTTGGCTACGCTTCCTGCTATACATATTGATCTTCACTCCGAATTGGAGTATAGGGCTTCCATCATAGCTCTCCATCTCATCCAAATTGTAGTAAGATATTTTATCTCTTTCAATGTCTTTCCTGTTGTTTTCGATTTACTTATAATCACCCTGCTCCAAATATATTTAGGTCTTCCTTTTTTTCTATGGCCCTGAGGGTTCCAATCAAAAACTCGTTTTACTTTAAATTTCTCAGGTTTGCATAGAACAAACCTTGTACGCAAGTGGCTTTTAGTACCCAGACAAACTGTGATACCCATCGATTTGAATCTGGGTGGGCTTCAAGGTGACCGTCATGATCGAACCCCACTCCTTCACTACGACAGCTTTATCCACTGAGTTATCGCTGCCATATTTATAAACCTATTTTCGTTAAATTAATTCTTTTTAGCATTAATTAAAATTAAAATACTAATGTAATTAAAATATTGTAATTTATGCAAGAATCAAAAAAAAAAAAAATCGTAAATAGCAATTTATTAGACAATTAGAAGGAAAAAAATGTATTTAAATCTATCTGATATTAAAAAAATATGGAGCAGTAAATATAAAATTGTCTATCAGATTTCTCATAAAAATACTTCATAACTTAAAAATGCTTTATTTTTGATTGCATGTATTATAAGTTAAATCCTTATAATAAGCAACTTATGAATATTTTTCAGCAACAAAAAGGTGGACCAAGAAAGTTGACTTTGCCAACGAGATCTACGGTAAGTGCTGCATATTTTTAAATAGCTAAATTTAAACTACTTCTTTGGTGTGCTCAAAAGTAACTGGCTAAAAAGATTAAAGCAATGTTCTTATGTCCGGAATCATGTTTATTTCTAAATCTGTGCACGAGATGGCTCTGCCAGACTGTTTATCATGTGTTTAGATAGAGTTTAGTTTAAACTAGCTCATCAAACAAATAAATAAACTAAAAATTAACCCAAGAACTAAAAATGAGTACATATATTGTATACACATTTAGTTTTACATAATTTTCTTGAATAAAAAAATTGGCACTTTTATGAGACAGTTTTCTTCAAAATTATACGACCATTAAAGGGTTAAAATTCAAATTTAGGTCAAAAGTTTAACATTTCTCCTTGCTTTTATTTGGACATTCATAAATGATTTTTTTTAATTAAAGAAAAAGTGCATTCTAAGAAGATGGTAACAATTATGAATTTGAGTTTTAATACATGGAGCTTTGTATACAGTTTGTAGAATTAGATGATGACCTTTTTGTTGACTTAGTAACTCAATTACAAAGTATTAAGTAAAGAATTAAAATTTTTAAAGCAATTAAAAATTATAATACTTCCAATGGAAAAAATGCTCTTAGCAGCAGTGAATCCAAAAGGAATTGGAACATATGAAAAAAGACAATGAGACAATGACAACAGACAATGAAAAAAGGAAAAATATTGGATAAATATTACAACCAAAGCTGACGTCTTCAGGGAGCACCAGCTCTGGAAAGTCATAAAAGCAAAACCTTTTCTATCGAGAGAGCAAGACAAAAGTCTAAAATTGCCTGTACCCCAAAGGTTTTGCCAAAGTCGGGGGAAAGAATAGAATACATAATATACAATATAAAATACAGAAGAATGCAATATAAAATACTATATAATATTTGGGGTACAAAGAGGGCAATTTTAGACTGTTGTCTTGCTCTCTCGATAGAAAAGGTTTTGCTTTTATGACTTTCCAGAGCTGGTGCTCCCTGAAGACGTCAGCTTTGGTTGTAATATTTATCCAATATTTTTTATTGCTCAATTCCAAAGTAATAGATATAGTACATTCTTAATATATTTCAAATTTAGATTTTCTATGAATTCAAATAATTGTTTTATCCCTGTTTTTTACATTTTAGGATGCTGATGTGGCCAAATTGTTGAGCTGCGGATCGTTTGGTAACCTAGAGTGCTTGTCTCTTGCCTTCACCCAAGTGACTAGTGCCTGCGCTGAGCAGCTGATCAAATTGCCCTCACTGCGATATCTCAACTTGTGGTCCACTCAGGTAATTACTGTCATTTTAATATCACTCTAAGCAAATTCTTTTAGTTGTTTTGCTGACAGTTTATGCAAATTTATTGTTAATATGCAGTTAATAGACAGGTGTGTTGTATGTGTTGCTTATCCTCCGTGGCCTAGACCAGTGTTTCCCAAACTTTTGTTTAACCTTTCTAAATTTTTCCTAACACCGTGTACCACTAATAAAAAAAAATGAAGTATTTTTTACCATAAAGAAATTGCACAAAAGTCAAAAATCACAACTGGCTGTTGACACCACTAATTATTAACTGTTAACTCTGCAAAAAAATAGTCAATAGAAAAATATGTAATCGTCAATTTTCATGGCTAGCTTTGTTTTTAAAAAAACTTTTTTTGAAATTTCCTTTTGTTGCAAGATATTTCGCATAAGAACGCGTACTCTCACTAAACTGTTCCGTATCCCTGGGGGTACGCGTACCACACTTTGGGAAACCTTGCCTAAGAGGATGGAAATTAAATTGTTATAGATTTGTGTGTGTATATTTCTCTTTTGGGACTCCATAAATTCGGGTACTTCTCCATCTATTGGCAATACTATAGTTGATAATATTGAATTTTTTTAGAAATAAAACTTAGTCATGAAGCTATTAAGATTTATTTCTAATTCTTTTTAAAATGGCTGTGCAGAAATTTTTTAATTAAATTACTAAAATTGAAATCAAAGTACTTTCGCTCGGGCAACAGCCTGACGGTGAAAAATTTGGTTAATAAATTGTAAACAGGAAAATTTTTTGAAATTTTCGTTTGTTGCAAAAATATTTCGCATAAGAACGAATACCCTTGCTAAACTGCTCCCGTACCCCTGGGGGTACGCGTACCACGCTTTGGAAAACGCTAGCCTAGACAAATTAAACCAAGTCCAGGAGACCATGTCGCCCAATTAAATCAAAAACTACATCCCCACTTATTCAACAGCTGCCCTACAGAGGCAAGCACGATAGTAATGTAGTTATCAATCTTGGCCCTCTGCCTAAGTCCTGGTTGCGTCCCTGTTTGTCCAGTGTGCCGGACGATGCTGAATATGCAAAATTTAGATGTGACTGATTCATGGTAAGGACAGGAATCAGCTTCAATTCAGAGAGAAACCACTGAATTTTCCTCAAGATGCCTGCTAAGCTTTAGCTGGACAAATAGGGTGGCCTTATCAGGAGCAAGGTCACCCTAGCAGGATTTAATCGACAGTTTCGGTGCAATTTAAATCTCGTGGAAAAAATATTTTATTTTAAAACCGGTCTATGAACAGCCCGCGTGATTCTGAGTTTTCGACTATCAACGTTAAACTCCTTAGCCTTGTAATTTTGAACCCATCCCAGAAGACAGGGATGCTTTGGATCAAGCATTGGGACAAACTAGGTTTTGTAGAGGATTTCTCGAGGGTACAAACTCACATTTTCCTTACATGGAGAGGAAAACAACGAAACCTTCCACAGTTCGTCCAGTGGATAGGGGATTCTAATCCATGATCCGTGTATCACTGGGGTTATTTTACGTCAGCACTGTGGCCGGTGAGAGTCTGGAGCAGAGTTCGTATCAACCAACCTCCGTTGGAATTCGAACCTCGATCGTTTCATTGAAAGGGTGAACACTCGGGCAGAAATAGTTAATATTTCATGAGATTTACTAGAATAGGGAGATTGGCTTCCTCTTTCAGATACGCCTCTGTATTAATCTAAAACAATGTTATTTTAGCGTTATTTTTATTTCATAAAAATGGTAATTAGGATTATTATTTTTTATGATATAATAGTTACAATAAAAAGGTTAATAATTTTTTATTAGTTTTGTTTAGCTAAAAAAAAGTTAATTTATTTTCGATCATAGAAAAATTCTATAGTTTATTGAGTTGCTGTGTATGTTTTTGTTTAATTAATTGTAAGTAAATAATTAAATAAATATGTTGCTTATTGGCTGAATGTATTATTTATCTGCTTTTAATATAATCAGAATGCTTTTGATATATTTTTATTCTGATTTCCTTTTATAGTTTGGAGACGTTGGCCTTCGCCTTATCTCTGAACATTTGCCCAAACTGCAAGTTCTGAATCTTTGTGAGACCCCAGTCACCGATAAAGGACTTCAAAGTCTTACCAGTAAGTCTAAGTTATTTATATATTAGCCATTAAAACGCTGTAATAACTTTTGAGCTAACAATCACATTTTTGCGTACTAAGATGCAACTGTAATGATTCGAAGGAGGACTTCAAATATGCTATTGTTTGAATCCTCAAGTTATAAAAACAGTCTATATATTTCATCTATCATAATTTTACGATTTTTAATTTTTTTTTTATTTATAGATATGAAAAGTCTAAGGAAACTTAACTTAAACAGCACAAGTCTATCAGCCCAAATGTTTGAAAAGCTAAAGGTAAGTAATATTTACTCATTTTATTTTGAATAATAAATTAAGTATTACAATTTCAAATCTTTCTTAATTTGTCAGATTTATCTTAATCATAATAAAGCAGTTGCTTAGTCGCTTTTCAATTGATCTGCATGAGAGGCACTGTTGATATTGGTAGCATTGTTCTGAGTGCTGAACTAATAAGCTAAAAAAATATCTTTCCAGCTGTACTTTTGTGTAAGATTCATAAAACGAATAAAGAAAATACTCTAAGATTAACCTAATGTCCTGTTTAATTCTTGTTGATCATTTTGGTTCGATAACCGAAAAAAATTTGGGAACCGCTGAACTAGAGTGTCTTACTCTCCTCTGGAACGCTGTAACAGATTATATGCTAGTTTCAAACGTTTCGTGACCGTGCTATTAAGGCAGTTTATCGTAAAATGAAATTTTGATCACTTTCTAATTAGTTAATTTAAATTTTAGTATCTAAGCTGGAGCCTCATGCTGTATGACAATGTAAGTTTTTAACTCTTTAATAACTGCGCAATCAGAACTGTCGACATATGATCGGCAATCAAAATTTAAGCATTCAAACTACTACTTCGTTCAAAATTTAATTGGAGCTCGGTATTGGAGGACAATCCAAGTTTCCATCGTTTTCTGATTGCTTCAATCAAAATTTATATTATTATTTTATCATTAACTGGAAATCATCCATCAATCGAAATTTAGCCAATTTTTTACAAGCTCTTGTACTCAAATTTGAACCGGAGATTCTTTGCTGATGCTAAAACAAATTACGTTTTTTTTAAACATGAATGCAAACATGACTTACCACTATTTCAACTCCAAATAAAATCCTGACCAGCTTTTGACGAAGACAAACAAGCAGACACATTGCTAAAAAGAGGAAAATAAAAAATAAAAAAAATATTCTAATAAAAATAAAGTTACGTTTTTGACTAAAAAGGAAATTATTTTTGTCAGATCTAAAATGGAAAATGTAGGACGTTTCATTTTTGCTACTAGCTTCTATAATCATCAAAAATCTCCGTCTTTCAAAAGGGCCGAGTCCTACATTTTAATTTTTGGTCCTATATTTTTCATTTTAGGACAAAATTATTTTTATCCCTTTTGAGTTTTCTGAGATTTCAAATTTTTATTTCCTCTTATCATTTTTAAACATATTTTAAAATATAAATAAGAAATTAAATATTTACTTTTACTCTTTGGAACAATAATATTATAAGCTGTTTTATTGATCTCTATTGATGTTTGCAATTATTATATATTTTAGCAAAAGCTTCCAGCCTTACAAGAATGTGATATTCGTTACACAGATGCATGGTGAACTTTTCAACTTCCTATACTTTCAAGACCGAAGAGCTATTTCAATGGAAAATAAACAGCTATTTCTGAAACTTTCTAAAACTGTTTATTGAATCTTGAATTAAAAGCAACAACTCATTTTAATATAAAATCTTCTTTAATATGGAAAACTTTTTCTTACATCACTGTGGTGTATATATTTTTTGCCAAAAATATTTAAATTAACTGTTCTCTTTCATACACTTACTACTAGCCCAACGCATTAGTAACAACAACTACTTACTGATCATTTTTAATTCTTAGTTTAAATTTCAAATTACTTTAAAGCTAAATAAAAGATTATGCTCAAATGATCTTTGAAAGATTAACAAAACTGAACAATGCTTGAACTTTGACCATGATGGACTTCTTTTTATCTGTGTTCCTCACTAGTGATTTGATGCAAATTAAAGCGTTTTTTCCCCTCGCTTAAATATTAATTTAGAATAAAATATTAAGCTTCAATAAATAAATTAATAATTTGTATAACTGCTTAAATATTTTTTAAAACTTCAGCTGAAGAATGATTGTGATATTTTTTTTTATGTTTCAAATTAATACAGGGTGTTTTGTAATCACTGCCCTTATGTTATTTTAGGATCCTTCTAAAAAAGAATTTAAAACAAATATACACTTAGGAGTCAAAAATTCATTGCAACGCGTAGGGAGAAAAAATCATACTATGTAAAACGTTAAGGACCAAACTAACTTCGACTAATCACATAGTAGGTTCTGCTCACGTGACTTATTTTAGTTATGATAATCATGAAGCTATTTTACCGAAGATCGTTTCCCCTGCCCGCTGCTAGGTATATATTTGCCCAGGGTTAAATTTTTTTAGGTTAAATGCCACTGCCTGGTATATAATTGCCCGGTATACCACTACTGTACCGTGCTCATACCCGAATTAGAAGTGTCATTGTTACCAAAAAATCCGCAGAATAGTGGTGGAGATATTTTACCGAAGATCAGGTCACTGTCTTATTATACACAGTAATTTGCGTAGTTAATATAATAATTTAGAAGTATATTTTAGTTTTAATAATGCTTGAAAATTAACGTTGAAAATAGGTATCTTATCAACAGAAATTGACCAGAATTAGTTGTTCTTTCCCCTTAACGATCGGTTAATTTTCAAGAAAACGGTCATAAAAGTGCCTATTTTTCTTGACATCCAAACATCTAATTTAATATAAACTATCTACTTAAAAATATCCTGATACTGCCATCTGGTGTGTAAAATGAAAATTAAAATGTTTTCCGGGTGAAAGAAATAGATTAGTTTTATTCTTATTGGCCCGTTAGTACTGAACACTCCATCCCGGAAATATGACGGGAGCGAGAAATAGAGGGCGAAACCTAACCCCGTCATTTTCACGGAAGCGACAAGGAAGGGGGTTAAAGCCATTTTTTTTAAAACTTTGGAATATAATTTCCGAATAGCATTGATAAATATTCAAAAATCGTATTATCTGAAAAGTGAATGAAATGTAGAAATCAAAAGTTTCTCGGGATAGTTTCATATTTTTAGAACTTCAAATTGAAAAAAAGAGCTAGCATACTTTTAAGTTGAGAATAAGATACACAAATATGCAAAAGAACGAAGCAAACTCAAAATGGAGGACTTTCGATAGCAGTTACGGAAATGGAGAAGAAATTGTTGGTCCATATTAATATCCAAATCTAGTAAATCATTACTAAGGAAGTCTGAATTAAAGTCGGCCTGAGTGATCCATAAAACTTGGTGGTTTTTATTTGATGTTTCCACTGGCAGTCAAATAGATTTCGATGTTTTCAACCCCGACTTCTTCTCTAATAATTTGATGTACACCAGTGGCATATTTTCCCCCTCTTAAAATTTGCAACTCCTAATGTTTGTTGACTTTTTGACTTCATATTTAATGAGGGCAGTAAGTAGAGAACACCTTGTATAGTTTTTTTTTTACAGTCTGCATTCTTGAACAAGGGGTGAAATAATGAACCCTTTCATGGATTTCTAAAAATTGCAAATATATTTTTAATTAGTTTTAGCGTCGACTTTTATAATGAGATTTTAACTAATGCTTTATAATAGTAGTGATGAAAACTTTACTTTAAAAAATTTCCTTGACATTTCAAATGAAAATGAAACTATTTTATAAATTGTTTTCGAACAAAACTTAATTTATTTACGATTTCAGAAAATATTTTTGAATTCTATTTTTCAAAAATTGAAAAATTATTAATATTTACTTAAGATTATAAAAGTAAAAAAATTTTTTTTAATGTAACTTTGTTTTCATAGTTTACATCAAAGAAAAATGAAAGAAAATTTTATTTTGTCATTTCTATTCACAGAAAATTTGTGAACGTGATTTTAATTATAGAATTTTTTTCTGTTGTTACTAAGATAAGAGATTTTAACAAAATTTTCTCTAATCATTATAATATTAATAACCAAATTTTTGGACGGTAAATATGTGCTTCTTCTAAACAAATAGCACTTCAGTTCATGGTTTTCATTAGATTTTAATATTTTATTAAATAACTTAATTATTTGTTAGAGAAACATATTTTGTTTGATTACAAATGAAAAATGACATGTAAAAATAGATTTCCATTAAAATTTTGTTATGTATTGTTACAACTTAAGAGTTAAATAAAAGAGCACGTAAATTTGTTATATGGAAAAACACTCGAACGTTAGTTACATGTTTTTATTTTATTTGTAACTTCAATTTGGAACATTTTTGATTATAAATATTAAGTCGGAGAGTGGGAGATAAGTTAATTATTAAATTAATTTATATTTATAACTCAATTAATTAAATAAATTATAAGTGCTATACTATTTAATGTTTTTGTACTCTGTTTTTAATGGAAAAAATTAACGAAAAATGTTTAATCATAAATGTTTTACCACTTGCATAGCATGTTTTCACTATATAGTTTGTTGACAAAGCATTTTTCATACATAACACATGGATATAATTTTAAACTCCTATATATAATTTTAACCTATATTATAACTCTTTCATTTCCATGTTGTTTTTTTTTAAATTATAGAATCGTTTGATTGTTGCACTTTTAAAATTTTGCACTTTTTACAATTTTTAGTTTCCGCGCCGTTACATTAAAGCATTTAGTGTTTAGGAGTTTAGTAGTGATAAAGAATGTAGTCTGGTTTGTGGCTAATTGTACAATTTATTGTAATTTTTAAACAAAACTTGATTCTAGTGTAGTATTTGATGTTTGTTATCATTTACTATTTTGTTGAACAATGAATCTATAAAAATGTGATATTCGTTTTTTAAGATGCTCAATTCTGTATTGAGCATGCTAGTTTTAAAAAAAATGCTGCTTCTTCAATTATTATTAATTTATTTCCAAACTTGTTTCAATTTTGTGAAGCATTTCATTTGGATAATCATTTCACTGAAAATATTTGTATTAATTGTAAATGTTACACAAGTTGAGTCGAAAAACTAATTATAATTCTTAGTTTTAAATTGCTTTCTTCTTCTTTTTTTTTAAAATTCCAATGTTTTCCACGTTTTCTTTGTTTTTTTAAATAGCCTATTGTCGAAAGATTAAATTTATTTCAAAAATATAGTTCTAAGTACATTTAGAGCTCAATTATAATATGCTTTTATAAAGCATAAGTACAATTTTTTTTACAATATGCTTTCATATCTATTTATAAACATCTATCACAAAAATGTATCGAACACAGTATTCACCGTATTAGTGTAATTATTAATTATATTAAAATAATTGAAGAAATCACTAATCGCAAATTTTGCTGCAACTTTGCATAGAAAAAAAATACGTTGTAAAATTGCACATTGGTTTTAAAACAAAGCAAATATAACTAAACAGTTGTATGTAACAATATCAATGTACTTAAAATTTATTTTAGAAAATGCTTAGCTTGTATACAGCCTCGTCATAATTGTCTACTCGCTTTTTCTTTGTTCTGGAACTAGCTAAGTCATAAAGAACAAGTCATTGTAATATTGTTATTTATGAGTTGTATACATGTTTTTCCCATTCCCAATTATAAAAATTTGTCGATAGATTTTGTCGAAACATGTGCATCATTTGATTAAATCTGTGTGTAAAAAAAAATGTAGAATTTGAAACTGAACTCTCTATCTATGGTGCTCATTTTGTATGGTTTTAACGTGTTGCTAAATATTTCATCTACGTAGATTAAAAGTTGTTATACATAATTTTGTTCGATTGTTCTAAGAAGGAAAAAAAAAAAGAACTTTTTCTAACTCTGACATTTCCCACCATTTCTTTTTTTTTTTTTATTGTGATCGGGATTATTCATTTATTAAATGAAAAAAGCTTTTACATGTGTTTATTTAAAGTTTATGAAAAAAGTGTTCAATAAAGTATTTCTTTACCCTGTACATTTCATGTTTGTTTTTTTCCAAATGAAACATGTTTTTAAGATTTACTCGAAGTAAATGCAATATACAAGTAAACAAACTTACAAATAATACTTTTTTGGGTACTTGTAAATACAATGTACCTTTGACAGCATAATTCGAAAAAAGCACCGTTTTCTCTTAACATAGTTTTAACCAAAGAAAATAAAAAGTCCACAGTTTAATTACTTTATACTTGAAAAAAAAAGCTATGATTTTAAACTATACGCCATCTTGCTGCGAAAAATTATCCAGCTTAACGGATCAAGAACTGAAATATTTAAAAAGTTATTAAACTTTTTTTCGAAAATCGCCAGATTGACGACATTTTCCCATCTCGATGAAAATCATCAAAATAACTACCTTATTCCAATACCTTCTAGAAGAGCGAAGGCTTCAGCACGGGTTACCATAAACAAGAAATTTAGTGGTCCAAACGTAATGATATCTTTCGTATTTCCCCTCACTTTGCAGCCTAGTAGCTTGAACAAAGTGACAACTTCCCTTTTTTCCTCGACGACGTAGTTTATGTTCCTTACGTCGGACTACTAAATGGATATGTGCGGAAGCCTTCTATCTTCTAGGAGGTGTTTTTTATTCTCAGTCTATGAGATCAGATAATGCAGTTCTGAAATATTAAAAAAAGGATGTTCTAAAATGTTAAAAAATTAGACCACAAACGTTTTTCCTTTTCACAAAACTGTGCCGTTTTTTCGATATTGACATTTTGTGCTATTTTTAGAATAAGCATAAAGAACGCTTTATATAAATAGGCTAAACTTGACCTAATAGCCATGAGTAACTGTTACAAACTCACAGCCGGATTATCTAAGCATATTATTGCGAATAATATGCTTAGAAAATAGCATATTATTCGCAAAAGAGCATCATTTCATGTGACGACTGAGCCTTTGAAAAACAGACTTAAATAAGTTTAATTTAGATTGCTATGGTTAATATAAACCAGATATAAGTTTAAATTATATAACAAGGAAACTAGCAACCATATTTACCATAGCAATGAGTGAAATACAAAATAGAAACAAATCCATTTTTTAACGATGTTTTAAGTTAAAAGAGCATAGTGAACAAAAAGAAAAGAAAAAAGAAAAGAAAACCCTGAATAACTAATTAGATTTTTACGAACCTCAAACTAATCTTAATGGTTCCTTAAAGGGGTGACCTAAAATAAAATAGTTAGTGTCACCTCTTAACTAAAATATGGAATCAGTTACAAAAATAGCTACTTTCTTTGAATGAAAATTTCCCCCCCGCAGAAATAGAATTTTAGATCGTCAAAATTTACGGGATAGTCTCAATAGTTAAGTCTGGTGAGCGGTCATATACCCCATAAAGTTAACGTTTGCGTTTTTGATCATTTTTTTGGTCTGTAGTTTAACCAAAGATAGTTTGACGGGAAAAAGAAATTTCATTAAGTTATTATTCAACTTTTCTTTTGTTATTCTCACAGTATTTTTTGTCCAGAGACGCCAACTTGCTCAGGACAGCAAATAAATATTTTCGAGTGGCAGTTTATTAATGTGTGAATCTTGGTTTAATAAAATCAATTTATTAGGTTTTCACCTACCACTATTTCTAAATAATTCAAAGGCTTATACAATTCGCCACTTTATTACATTTAAGTCATGCGGCATGGTTTTAAAAGTAAACAAAATTAGTCAAATGTTTGCAAATTTTAGCATGTAGTTGTTCACCGTTTTTTAAATTATTATGGAGCGTCCGGAGCAGTTGGCATCTATGTTTGTCTGTCAATAGTGTCGGAATCATTTGTCCTAGGCTCCTAAAACATCGACGACAAAGAATAATTTTAGTCCCAGGTGATGAGAATCTATTAAAAAATTTCAATTAGTTCCTTCAGAAAAGATGGTTGAAAAATGAATTTTTCGCATTGATTTAGCATTAGCCATTGTCAGAAGTAAAACTGTAAACTTGTAAAACTGTAGAAACTGTATAACTTTATTACACACTCTTTAATGCTTAGTTATATTTTATTAGCTCAGTTATCAACGGGCACATAGCGTGGATACGCCACCAAATTAATATTCTTGAAGTCATTTGAAACCACGTGTTTTTTTTTTTGGTTCGTAGCTAGCTTTAAAATTAAATGCCAAACAGTTCTGACAACACTTTATTTCGATCGTTTGATCTTTTAAAAAAGTGTTTCATTTAATCTAATAACATAAAGTCACAAAAAAAGAAACAATAAGTAAAAAAGGGGAAAGTGGAAGCATTTTACTTGGTTTTGAGCATTACTTTATAGTGTTGACTAGAGCCGTGCAGTTAATAGTTGCAATTTTTGAATCTGACTCTGGACTTTTCTTAGAGCTCAACTCCAACTTCGATTCTGAATTAAATTCACTTAAAATTTCCACCCAATCCAAGGTAAATATTAATTGTCACGATATCTTCTCTAATCATAATTTTTGTATAACTTTATCTTAATTTACTGCTATTCTTATAATAAAAAATCTCTGTCTTTGCCTATGAACTCTATCTATCTACTACTAACAGAGTAAATAATTAGATTTATATAAGTACCGGTAATAAGTAGATTTATATGAGTAAGTTCAATTACTTATATAAGAAATGTAAGAAAATTTTTGTACCCCATTGTAATTAATAAAACACTTATTCATAACATTAAAACTAATTAAATCTATCAAAAACTATAAAGGGCAAATACAAACAATACAGTTGTCAACTAAAAATAACAATTATAATATATAAGCTGGTACATTTTTGTTAAATCGGTTGGAAATTTAGTTATAAAGCTAGTAAGAAAAACATTGTTTAGAGGGAACATTATTTAAAATTATCGTATAAAATCAATTCATTAGTGTGAGAACGTAAAATTCATTGTATCTTTTTCATAAGGAGTTTTAAATTATATATTTTCAGAAAAAAAAAAATCGATGATTGTATTACATGTAAAAACAGAACAGGAAGAATATTAATGTGAAATACAGGCCTTCGTGATCTTAAAGATTGTTACAAATACTAATATGGAAACAACCTTAAATTAAGCCATATTTTTTACGAAGAAAACGACGATTAATTCAGAAATTAAGATAAACTAATGCATGTAACAAAAAAAAAAAAAAGAAATCTTGAATTATATGAACCAATCTTTTTCGTTGAATCTCATCTGTATCGTTTACTAGAATTCTACTAAAGGCCATCTTTTTAAATTGTTAAAGGAGTGATTTTCTTAATTCAGCAACAAAGCCTTTAGTAAGCCTTAGAATCTCACTAAAAATCTTTCATTTTCCAATCAATCGAAAATAAATGATCTATTACTGATTTTGGTAATACTTATTTCGTATAACGTCGCACAATTTTGAATAAAAAATATTCAACGGATTATTTGAATATTACAATCAGTGTTGTTATGGCATTTAACAACATTCAATCAATAAACAGCCTTTGATATAATATTGTTTATTTCCACAAGAGCCGGATTCAGATCTTGAGGTTTAGATTAAAAATGAATCTTAAATAATATGTTCAAGCCAACAAAATTTTCAAATATCAAAATAGAAACTTAAACAAAAATAAAAAAAGCCGCCTAAAAAGTTTGGCTCACTTATATAAATAAAGAGGGGTAGACTATATTTGAGGGTGCCCCTCATCGCGGTTGATCGCCAACATGGGCCATGTTGAAACCCAATCGTGATTCTGATTGGTTTAGATTTTAGCGTTATTTTTAAATGTTCAGCAGTACATGTAATTTCAGAGGTCCATTAGTTCTACGTTAAATACCGGCTGGTAAGGTTACTTTTGAATCTGGTCAATAAGATCGAAGGTATGTGGGCAGTCATAAAAAGGGATTTAAGAAAAAAATGTCACCGCTAGTCCGGTATTACAGACGCCATTTTCGATTCGTATTTCGTCGAATTTATGTGGCGATGGAAGAACACAGATTGTATTCATGATAAATTTAGATAGTATCTAACTGTTATTAGATAATTCTGTGCACCTAAATCTGAGAATATCCAAGCTTAATGAAGAAGTGAGTTGTTTTTTTCCTTTTCTTTCTGCGCCTACTTCGTTAATTTTTGCTTCAATTCAAAATCCTTTTATTGGGTTTATTGATTTTGCTTATATTGGGTTCATTGCAAGTTTCGGCCGATGTTTTGTTTAAATTTTCCAATGTTTTATTGAAATATCATTATGTTTTGGCCGCCATTCCTGTTACCACAGTGTTCCGCTCAAATAGGAATAGCGCCAAACATAAGTCGCCAATTTCGCCAAGGGGCACCCTCAAGTATATTTTTCCCAATTCATTATGTCAGTCTCATTATGTAAAGATTCGGGTATTCATACCGAAACTAGAAAACTAGAAAGTGCCCTTCTTCTTAAAATTCGTCAAATAAATTGAACATACGGCAATGGAACCAACATATACTTTTAACTACTAGATGACTTTACATATAAAAAAAGATAAAATTGATACAATAAACATATTCTACAACAAAAAGCATTGAAAATCAAAGATTCCAGTGAAAGATGATAGATATGGATTAGAAGACAAATTAATGAATCAAATAGATAAAGTGCCCTCTGTACGCTTTTTCATGCATTCATAAGTTTGACTGAAAAAGAAACGAGACTTGTTCTATTTACTCGAAATGGAACATGTAATATAATCTTTTATTTTGCTTTTTTCTTCGACTTTTTCTTAGACTTTTTCTTGGGGGTGCGCTTTTTCTTTATTGGAGTACCGCTGGCCGAACTGGATGAACTCTGGCTTCCTTTACCAGATTTTTTCTTGCGTTTTGATTTTTTCTTGCCAAGACCTTCTCTTTCTTTCTTCCTTTCACGTTTTATTCTAGCTTCTCTACGCCTTTGCCGTTCTTGATACATGCGAATCTTACTCCATTTGGCTCCTTCCTTGCTGCCACAAGGCAACTTGTTAATTCCAGTGGATACTTTTTCGGTACTAGATTCAGAACGACTAGATCCACAGCAAGAATTTGTCCTCGATAACTCTCCGAATGATGCTGAAGAGTTGTTTAAACTACATGAGAGCATGGAACTAATCGAACTTATTTCTTCGGTTTGACTAGTAGATTCAGAACTTTCTGACTTTGCTGTTTTCGGTAAATCTTTAATCGACGTGAAAGAATAATTCAAATTTTTTTCTTGCCTTGAAGGCAATTTTTTCTTGAAGGTCTGTGGCTTAATTTGTTGGTCCATTACGGAAATGAAGTAATTTTAAATATTGAATATCTTAGCTTCTGTAGTAAAGGATATATATTTATACATAAATGAGGATAAGGTTTTGAGAAGTGAAAGCTTAATCTGTCTGATTCTTCATGTGTTTTAATTTCAAATAATTTTGCTTTCTAAATTAACTCATTTCACGAAATAACGTGGTACAAAAATTGAAATCAAACCTCGTGCTACCTAATTAGTAGTTGATATTATTTTATAATTTCGCTAGCCTGATTTTAATGCATTAAAAAATCTGTATTTATTCATTAACAATATCCAAGTCAGAGGCTGAACTAGATCAGTGTTCCACTATCATTCAATCTATTTTCATTTGCACGATTCCTATTGGACGATTCGAATTACTATTTGTTGCAACTGTAACCGATTGATCACTAGTGGATTTCCAGTAAAATTAAAGTTATAGAAATTATAAAATTTAAATAGAAAATTGAGGATTGTATTCTCACTATATTTACTAAAATATTTTATGAATACAAATTTAATATTTATTGAAAAATTAATTGAAAGTAATTAACATTTATCTTCTATGGAAAACTACAATCGAGTTGGATTTGAAAATGGAAATAATTTCACATTTTTGATCAAACTTTTGATACATACTAATGCATTTTTGTAGCTGACACTCAATGGGTTAATAAAATTTAAAAAAAGAAAATTTTTTAAAAAGTTTTTTGTAAATTTTGTGTCAAAAAATTTATTCTACTAGCCTATATGATGATAAGTCCCAAAAAAGGGACAGTGGGAATTAAGGGATGATTAAATTAAGTGACTCTTGTTGAGCACTTATACATTGAAATATGTTCAGATATAATTTTCTTCTCATGTCTTGTTAAGCACTTAAGTGCTTAACAATATCTAACACGTTACTTATACGTTAAACTATACATTTGTAATTTTATTTGTAACTGATTGAGCGAAGATCTTTGCAAGATGAAGTGGAGAATTATTAAAAGTATTAGTTCAGTTATACATTTACCGTTCGGGGGGGAATGCTCTGTAATAATAAAAGTTAACTGTGGAGTAAAATGAATGGATATTAAATAATGTGTAATATATTTACATATTGATAAAATTAAAATAAATCTCAATATATATATATAATTTTTCTATTATAAAAATTTTTTTTTTAATCGCACTTCTTCATATACTACTTTTTCCAAAAAGTTAATGCATTTCAATAGAAACAAAGAACAAAAAAGTACTTTCTAAAGTAATTTCGCTACTTGTAACGTATTAGTTTCGACCACTGAGCGTTTGTAATTTTTAAACGTCTCCTAATTACATTATTTTTTAAATATGTTTGAATGACAACTTCACTATATTCATAGAATTTGGACAACTTCAAATCCTTTAATAAAGTCACATAGGACTTTACTAAAGGACTTATAGCTAGATAATTTATTAAATTAATTAAAGAGAAGAGTTTTGGATAAGATTTTTCTCGCTCTTTTTTTAAGGGTAAATTGCCTGAAGTCTACACAATTAGCAGTTAGAATCGGTAGTATATGGAAGTAAAAAAGGAATGTTGAAATTAGCCAGATCAGCTGATCCAATAGTTTTAAATGTCATGAATTTACATTCAGTTTTAAAATCAAAGCGAGCAATAAGTTTAAAATTATCTGACAAAAAGTTAAAAAAATGAATGGCTAGAACTTGAAACGAGACGATAACCATGAATTGCGTCTTGGATCCGAGATATTGGCCAAGAATCGCGTATTAAAACTTTTTTCCCCAAGTTAACATTTTGAACTTGAAATCTGGTGCTGCCATCTATAATATAAAAGCGCAAAAATACTATTCCCGAACAATTTGGAAGAAAGTTTATCACCATTTTAAAATTCAGATCCTGAACTCTAATAAACATAATTTTTGTGCTTTCTAAATTGCTTGCTATTATTAAAATAATCGTATTATTAAAGAAATGCACTGATACATTTATATTTTTATCAGCTTTTTTACTTAACTTTAAAGTGTAGCTGATAAAATATATTTCACAAAACAATTAAAAAAGCATATAATTTTCCATAATTTGAGTTATTGAATTAGTTTCAGTTTATATTTGAAAAAAAAAAAGAAGCAGAAATGTGGTGAATTAAGTAATTGAATTAGTTTTTATTTCTAGATTCAAATCTACAAAGCATCGTCTATATGTTTTATTAAAAAAAATCACAAAACATTAAAATATTTAACATTTTTTACAATACAAGCTTCTTTCAGACAAGTAACTACTCATAATTTCGAAATTTATTTTATTTTTGTTTCAACATTCATAAACTTTACGTATTATTTTTTTTATCACTATTGGTACCAAAATTTCATATTCGCTCGAAGATTCAAGTACATAAAATTTATTTGCTTTTCTTTTTCTACGCTACTTATTATTGAGCAAAATGTCACATATAAAAATACGACAATGTTTATAAACAGAATTCAATTAAAATTAATATAATTTTCTTGAGAAGTTTCTTCCTAACTTTATGCTTGGTGCTGACATCTATGAAGAAAAAAAATACTTTCGCGTTTTCCATCGACGACAAATTAAGTTATTCACTTAAAAACTGAAGAGTATATTAGTTTTCTTTTCAACATGCATTTTATCATTTCTATTTTTCCATTTTTTTTACTATTATTTTATTATTCTGTTCTATCTGTGAGTATGGAATATTGTAATCGAGATTTACTTCTCTTTACGATAGATAGAGAGGGCTCAAATATCTATTGGAGTTCCATGAAGGTTGGCCATGGCACGGTTGGTTCAGTTTCAGTTTTGTTTCAGTTCATCAGGTTTCAGTTTTTGTTGAATACGGTTAGAATTATAATTATCTAAGAATATTTAAATATTCAAAATTCCGTTTTAATTCAGAATAAAAAATCTGCATCAGAAAAAAAAATTATATCAGAGTTTAGAATTGTAAATAAAAGAATATCAATATCCAGAAACTAAAATCTTTGAGATATCGAAAACTGGATCTGCATCAGCTATTGTGTACAATTTGAAACATCTCTTAGGCATTCTACAGACATCCAGTGATCCATGTCTTTAAACTTATCTGTATTAAATATCCAAAAGATATCCAAAATATCCATATCTAGGACTTAGATATGCCCGGATATCTCTATCATAACCAAATTACCGTATCCTCCAGATATCCAAAAATGATAACTCAAAGATGTCCGAAATATCCAAATCATGGACTTAGATGTGTTTAGATATCTGTAAGAAATCTGTAACATATCCGAATATCCACTGGATATTTGGATAGGTAACAGACGTGTTGAATATCCCAGTGATATTGGTGGCTTTGTGGGTACAAGTTTCAACTGCTTTTTTTCTTCTTTTTTTAAAAACTCTTTACAGACATAGTTTATTGCTATTTCTAAATAACGCTTATTAGCAAGCATAATTCCGATCATATTCCGTGTTTGAGTGCTGAGACTTCATCTGAAGTATTGTGTTTGATGAGAGTAAATTAATTTTTAATTTCCTGATCACTACACTATCCCTGCGAGGAATTTATCGCCAATCAAATTGAGTTCTAATTCCTGCCTAATGAGAGTTCACATGAAAATTTTTTAAAGCGAGTTGGTCCTTCCTAAAAAAAAGTAAATAGTAAATCAAATTGGGTGTCCTAAGTTACTCCTCAATATGGGATTGCTTAAGCCAACAATAAGAATTGAATATTTTGCTTATCTTAATTTATTATGATTTAATGTACGATTGCACTCTTACTGTTCAAAACAGTTCTTGTCTGTATTGGGTTAACCAATTACCATAGTGCCCATATTGGGTACTTATATTAGTGTCTATTACAATTAGTACCGATATTAGCTACATATGCTAATGTATTTAATACCTGTTACTATAGAACTAATGACTTAACATCAATACTGATAAGTATAATAAGGAAAATTGGCAAGCAGCTAACAAGGGAAATTTTTTCACGTTGGAATTTGGAATCCAAATGATATCTTCTATGATATCTAAATGAGCGTATATCTTCTGACTAACACCCCTAACAGCTAGTCAACTTGTCTGTTTCCACCCTTAAAACCGATATTTCCCTTACCACGTAATCGCTGATCTATCAGGAGTACTTACAACTATTAACTATTTAAACATCTCTGGCGTCAATTGTCAATTTTTGACCCCCCCCCGAAAATGGATCTTCAAAACATACATTATCAAAAAGAAAAGCGTAAAAAATATTTATTTTCGCATTTTTAATGTTTCGGGCAATTAATTTACACTGATATGCCAGAGATTTTTAATTTTATCGTGATTTCCTTATTATTTCTACTGAGACCGTCAGATGAAGTTGCAACTGAACCTGATGGTTTGAAAATACGTTGCTGTGATGTCATAGAAAACCCGTGATCAAATAAAAATAAAAATAAATAAATAAAATANCGCCAATTTTGGATCTCCTACCCATGCTTCTCCTGTGTCCGATCGGAACAAATTACACGAACTTTTTAATTTGGCTTCTGTTTAGGCAGGTTGTGGGGGATTTGTCTCCCATGGCCTGTCCTTAAAAATATTATTATGCAAAATTGATTCAACTGAATGAATGATTTTTATATTTTGTAACTCGAGCTCTGCAAATATACTACTAAATATACTACTAAATATACTAATAAAATAAAAGCTTTTTATTAATTCTAATCCGGCTCAACTATTATTTTCATCACCCTTCTGTTTATCATCACCATCTACAACTGGCCCACTATACCAATACAAAACTCCACCCACACCTTAATTTTCCACCATCACCACTTATTTTGGCACCCTTGGCTTATACTTCTCCATATAAATTGGCACCCTGATAATAACTTCTTCACCATAGCGATGTTTATAGAATTAAAGTAAATCAATAAACTGAATATCATTGGAAGCATATAACTAAAGCTTATTCCTGATTTTAAAATTCAAAAGTTTCACTATCTGAAATATGAAAACAGTTCTAATCACTTTTTGAGTGAGCCCCTTACAAATTTAACCATTCATTTTATAACACCCTGTTTATTTCTTATATCAGATTGTTTCAAAAGTTCGTTTCTGATTAAAAATGAAATTTGACATTATTTTATTTAATTACGTTAAAAAAGTACTTGTTCATAAATAATGTATTGCAGTGCTTCCCACTTAAAACTGAAGCCACTTCTGATTATAGTCAAGAATACCCGTTACATTTATATACGACATGAAGCGTGATGTTGCTAAACATTTACTAATACCTGGAAGTCAGTTGTATCAATATTATGAAAGGTTTCGTTTAGTTTTAGTTTTGAAAGAATAATTTCAACTTGAATTCAGCTATTCTGTTTTCAAGTAACATATTAAAATTCATATCGAGATCTTACAACTATTAAATTTTGTTGTGTGGTAAGTCGTCTAAAAGTAATGAAGGGATAATCTATGTATACATTATTTGAAAATAAAATTTTCAAACGAAGAATATTTCATTCGGAATTCTCCGGATTTATATAGCAAGTAAGTGTTAGGATTTTTATAATAAAAAATTTACTTGTAAATACATTTTTTTCTTTTCTAATTTGATGATAGTTCGCTACAGAATGGTTTTCTACGTCTGATTAAGAACTTCAAGACAAGAATAAATAAACAATATGAAAGTTTTTTTTATTTCAATACGAGGAATTTTTATAATATTTTTTTTCATGGTAAGCATTCTTTTTTTTACGTTATTTCGTTTATAAATAATGATTTTTTATTGAAACTTTAAATTTTTTGATAAAAATTGTTGTCAAAAAACGTTTTTTGCAAAATTAAATGGTATAACATTATGAGCTTCTGTAAACTTTTTGCACAATTTTAATGTTTGAAGTACTATGATACAGAAAAGTTATGCTGAGAAATTAAAATGTTTAAAATAAATCGCAATTTACTTTTTAAAATGTATTTTTGGCTTCATTAACAAACGACATCCTTAGCGAATCAGCATCTAAGCATTTCATGCTACTAAAATAAAACAAGTGACTAAACGATTATAAATAACATTATAAATTCAATTAAAAATAATAAAGGAAAGCTATAAACTCATAAATTTATCAATCTGATTGTTAAACTTTTTGTCATAGCGTGACGCTGAAACAGTTTGGACCAGACTGTTGCCATTTTGGCCCACATCGATAAAAAGAAATTTGCCATTTTATATGCTCTAGCATAAGAGTGGAAACTTTTTATATCTTTTTCTGCTTCTTTCCGGCTGAAGGTTTGGAAGTTATTTTATTTATCTTTTTATTATTGACGACGTACAGCTTTTGTAATGAAATAAATAATTATTCATTAATAGAATTCTTATTTAGCAATTATTCAGCAAACAAATTGTTAATAAGAATTTACGTAGCTTCTTTAATTATTCATGCTTGTAAGAGCATTATACTTCACATCTGAGTTCAAAGCGCTCCATGTTGTTTTGTATCAAAAACGAGAAAGTTAAATAAGTGCTTTGTTGACCAAATTGGAGGAATGTTTTGCAACCAGATAATTCTAAAGTTTAATTAATATTTTGTCAAAATGTCTTTTAGCATACAAAATGATCCGAGAGAAAATTTGAATACGCTAGATGACGAATTAGAAAATTTCCACCGGAATTCTGCAAATTGGTCTGAACTTCCACCTATAGCATTGGAAACTATTTATACTTATTTGAATCGCACTGACCAATTATACATGTCGTTAGTCTGCAAAGCTTGGTCAAACGAGTACGGGTCTCCCAAAGTGTGGAGAAAAATAACTTACAATTTATTGCGGACAACACAAACTGAAACATCGCCTGAGATTAAAATTGCTCGAAAGTTTGGATGCATGTTTAAATACGTTGAAATAAGCCATGTAGGAGAAAGGCTCGGTCGGTCAACAGTTCTAAAAGCCATGGAGCAACTGCAATTGTTTTTAGAAGCACTGACAGAATCTCAATGTAAACTGTTCTCTTTCGTTTTTAAGAACATGCATATGGTTCATCAGTTTTTAAGCAACAGTGCTTTTACAAACTTGGTGAACAGCACAATAAACTTTGTTAGAACACAGAATACGCTAAGAATTGTTGAATTCCATAATACTTTTTACAAACGAGATGACGCGGCTAAAATACTCTCGGCAGTTTGTGAGAGCAACTCGAGAACATTAATGAAGCTTGTGCTACAAGGATTCTCAAGAGACGCATTTGACGAAGTCGATGTCCCTATATCACCGCCTCATTTATTGTCAACCCCCTATATGACGAATTTAACAACCCTCAAAGTCGACTATTCTCAGTTTTTTGAAGAAAGTATGCAGCAACTTCTCGATATAAAATGTGTAGAAACTCAACTCATGAAGAAGCTTTTATTAATCGATGTACTATGTGAGGGATCTTTACCTGCACCGATAAAAGGCATTTCGCCATTAGTGTGGAAACGCTTGAGGGAAATGTGCCCGCAATTAAGGATCAACATGAATATCTTATACCAAACTCAAATCCAGAATGATTTGACAATTTATTTGGTTAATCATATCCCACTGCAACACTTGGTGCTAAATTTGAGAACAAATCTCATCGATACCAATCTGAACATCGACGTAATTTTTCAGCAAATATGCAACTGCCGTGCTCACGATTTCTTAGAATCTTTAAGCATATATTGGATGCCTGCTGTTGGTGATATATCAAGGTGCTTGATTCCATTTCTTCAGGTTTCCAAAAAGCTGAAGGCGGTTCAAATGGGTCTTAAGTATCCGGTAACCGGAATTGAAGCAATTTTTGAATACCTGCTCAACCATCAACCAGAATCTTTGGAATCAATTTGCATAACAGTAACCGGAGTTGATGAAGTTAGTCAAAGGCATCTGATGGAGGTTGCCGAAGAAATATGTCCTGTACTTCAAGTCACTGGTTTAACGGTTATTTTATTAGTTTATTCATAATAAATTGATCAGATTGTAAAATTTATAACTTCGACTGATATTCTTTTGACTGATATGTCAACCTGTTAATTTTGAATAAATGTAATAGATTTCATTCATAACAAATTATCTTTTATTTAAATGGGTAAAAGAGAACATTGAAAGTGATGATGAATTACTAATCGAACACGAAAATGTACTTTCTTTTAATACAAAGTTTTGTTTTTTTTCCGATTTATTCGGATTATTACCCTATATAGAGGATAGCCACAACTTGCAAAAAAATTTATGATAGCTTAGCTTGTAAAGCTTGTGACAGTTCAAAAGCTTGTGATTTTTTCTTTTTCTTTATATTTCTACAACTAATGAAACGAAGGGAAAACATTTTGTGCACAATTATAAACTTTCGATACTCTAAGGTAATTTCATGAAAAAAATAATTTTAATAATTATTTAATTTAGTAACCATCGAAAAAAAATTTTGAATTATAATTTGTAATAATTTTCATAAAATAAAACTGTTAGTTTCAATCCTGAAATCGAAATGTTTAAAACAATTATTCGAATTGTTTTCAACGAATTGAAAATAGGGAATTTTTTCTCAATTCAAACCTATTTGATTTTTGAGTTAAGAATTAGTTATCTTTCCATAATAACTATAATAATTCAAATTTTTTTATTTCAATTATATTAATCATTAAATGTTATAAGCAATAACTGATTATTATTTGCACAAAATTATCTTCCAGTAAACTATTCGTAAAATTGTGTATATAATTCAGGATTTCCCTCCTAGCAACTGAACAATCACATAGTATCAGAAATAAATTAATTTAACTTTGGCAAGATTGGTACTTAAGCTTGTTGTTACACGCTGTGCCGTTAGTTGGATATCTGGAAGAGATGTCAACGTATGTAAATTGTGACATTGGTTGATTCTGAAGCCAATCAGGTTCGACACATATGCATGACGTTGCTTATTCAATTAAACGTAATTTAAATCATATGGTTATGTATAATCACTTCACTCTTCGAATTGCAAGTATCCAATTACCATTTAAAATTTCTTTTTTTATTATGGTGATAAAAATATTTTTTAATAAATGAAAATAATTAATGAACACAACATATAATAAACCTAGAAACTATCACATTGACTGATAAGCATTGATAAATTATAAAGCATAATATGACTTTTTGTTGCATTAATTTTTGTTTAAATATCGCCAAGTAGTCACAAAAGCTGTAAAGTTAGCAGATTATACCTTACCTCGTTTGTCAATAAATCGCTCTATGTTCGACGCAATTTTTTCTCGAGCCTTTAGCGCAGAAGTTTGTTTTTCAAGAAAATAATAACAATAAAACAAAGTACTTGTTTGAAATGAAATATATCTAACTTAGATTTTCGTCTGCGCAAAATAATTAGTATTCTAGAGGTTGATACATTAGGACTAACTTAGTGCAAGAGATTCAACAAATAATATTAAGATGCATTCGTTTTTTTTTCCCCTTCATAATTGTTGTTCTTATTTTACCTACTATACATATTTGATGTCTTAATACGTGTTCTAATTAATATCTTTCCGAAAAATGGCCTAACATGACATAAATTTTGTGGAGAATTTTGCCGTTTAAATATAATGTAATTTTCACAATGTAATGTTCATGCTATGAGTATCAAAATTAATGCAGTTTTTTTTTATATTGATTTTCAAAACTAGGATGTCTATATTTTTTTCAATTAATGATATTCGAATTTAATTCTCGATTCCCAATTATTCTGGATTTCAGAAACAGCTTCACTTCTACATTAGTTTTTGAAATAAATCTATACAATTACTTATTTAGAGTACTACGTCAAAATATAATTTAATTTATTTAGGGTTTTAACAGTTGCGGAAATAATTTTTCAAATGCTTATAGTTAATACAAGCTTAATATGTAGAGATGTCAGGTATAAAAAATAATTTTTCTAATTTAATAATTTGCTTTACTAGAGCATATTGGCAATGTTTTGACCGGCAGCTATCTATGGTCAGAATTTGCAGGAAAGTGCAGTCGCATAAATTTTTTACAGTTTTTCATATTATAATACAAAGAGTTGAATAATTTTTTTAAATAAATTAATTTTTAAATTTAATTTAATTAGTTTTAATCTATCTTAATATGAGGTGCAGAAGTGCTCGACTTGCAAATTTTGGTTTTTTCTTTAGACTAGCATAAGTAATTTAGAAATGTCGCCAAATAATTTAAAATCAGACTAAAGTAATTTTAAAAAATAAATAAATTATTATGCATATATAGATTATACCTAGATATTTTTACAGGCCCTCAGCAAAGGTACTTCAAGCCTAATCTTGAATATCATAGAACAACTTGGGCAACTTCAACGTCTCTAGAAAAAAATGCTTCTTGCAGTGGATTCCAGCTCATGTGAACATTGAGTTCAATGAAATAGCTGATTCCTTGGCAGAAAATGCCAGAGATCTCAATCAAAATACAATCCCAACTACGCTGGCAGATGCAAATGCTTTTGCAAAGTCAAGACTGCTTACCCCCTTAAAAATCAGGGCCCACGATCAAATAACTAATCTTGACATCGACAGAAAGACAGCCACCACTCTCATCAGATTAAGAACAAAACATCATGAAAACATGAAAATCTCTGCAGATGGGACTAGAAAATATCAAAACTGTGGCAACTGTCTTAATGTGGAACTCACACCATATCATGTTTTTAACTGCCCTAAAGTCGCTGCAGGCCTTCACCTCTTAAACTACCCTACAGAAGAAGACTTATATTCATTTAATGCCACAGAGATAGCAAAGACTATTCAAGCACACCATGAGATATGATTCAATGGAGGATACGACACCAACCAACATAAACAGAGAGTGAGGTAAGACCGGGTCTTGAGGTAAAACCAAGTATCCCTATTTTGGTGAAATTAGATATGTTTTCCAGCGGACAAACGCTACACTTTACTAGTCAAGAAGAAAGAAGAAGAAAGTCTACACTTTACTAGACCTACCATATGGATTGATTGTTGTTGATTAATTCACGGCCCCTGAGTAGATAAGTTTGCTTTACAATGATAACTCACTAATGATAACTACTTTTAAACTATCCATATTTATTGGTCTTTAGAGTTTTAAAAATAATTTTTTATCAATATATTTTTTATACGTTCACTAATGATTCATACCTTAACAAACAATAAGGATTTAGATCGATAAGTAGCACTGTTCTGCTTCGTTACGGTAAACTCTGCCCGCTGAGTAAAATCGGGTACTACCAGGTCCAGTGATCCCCTGCTGTGGCTTACGAAAGCTGCAGTACAGCAGAGGAAGAAGGAAACTACATCCAAGGCTGAACAGAGGTCTTACGGGACCTAGGACAAAATTGATCCTCAAAGCACAAAAAGCACCAGTTCCATACTTTTTAGACTTTTTTAAAAAAAAAATTTATACAGAGAATTGTAGAAATCCAATGCCATTTTCTTTTAAAAACAGCATTAATAAACACTATTATTTGAAAAGAATTTTGATCGGACCCTCCGCAATCCCAGGCCCCAGGACAATTGTCCCTACCCCCCCTCCCTCTTGAGTACGTCCTTGACTACATCATAGGTAAATTACATACAGAATTTTCTTGAATTTTTGTAATTGTTATGATAACTTCATTGTTTAATAGTTTCGATTTTATTTTTAGCTATTTTTTTTCTGTTTAGTTCTAAAATGTAGCCAAAAGTGAAACTGTTTCGTGTTTAGTTACGTGATTTTAGCTCGTCAAACTAAAAAAGTTATCAATTTTTTTTACGCAATGAAATCAAGAAAAAATAGGTTCTTTCGCTAAAATTTTGCAGCATAAACAATATTTCTTACGACTTAATAGGTTTATTGAAAATATTGGATTTCCACAGTATTACTGCTTTGATCACTTAAGATATTCACTGTCGAAAATTCAAATTTACTTTCTGGTAGAGCCGTATTAAGGTTACAACTAATTAAAACAATATTATAATTTAACGCAATTCACAATTTCTAGCAGTATACGATAACCATTTAATCTTCGAGGAGTTTTACACCTGCTTAGAATTTAGTTGCCGCAATGCTTTTAACAAGTTTCATTGGAATTTAAGAGGTAAAAATAGCAAGAAGAATTCAATTAAGATTGTATATGAATATATGAATAAAAAAAGTTAATCAACTACAGGAAATTCGAAGTTGAAGAGGACTATTAATCAAGAAAGAGTTTTTATTTTTTTTATTGAATTCGTCAGGAAAACTACTGAAGTTTTTCCCGAATGAGCGACTAAAAGAACGTTGACCGAGAAAAACATTTTTCACCGTGAGACTTATTTTTTTCAGTTATAAGTCCATCAATTTCAACCATCTTGCTTAATGTTGAAGCAAATACGGAAAGAGCTGATATAATTCATTGACAATTTTGATGTTTTTTTTATCAAGTTTTTTAATAATTCTTGGCATGAATTATTAATTATTTGTTTATCTTTGTATTTGAAATGTTTAATTTTCCTTCTACATATTGAAGAAATTTCTTTTTTATTTTTTTTATTTAAGAATACTAAAACTTAATGAAACTAAAAATCTATTTCATTTTTCAATAACTTATTAAGAAGTATAATAAACGTTAGGTAACAATCTAACGGGCAATTGTAACAGTTTAGAATAATTTAAATTTAATAATGATAATTCAAAAACAAATTTTGACCCGGAAAAATAAGCTATAATCATAAGAAATTTTAGTTTAAAATTTAGATTTTAGTTTCCAAATTGTTTTTGTTTTTAACAGTCTCTTAGTCATAAAATATCATTCATTCTGCGTAATTATATAGTTAAAAAAGGATAACAAAAAAGGTTTTGCTTTTTTGGATATGTCAGAAGGATAACAATAAAATATACTACTTTAAACATACTACAAAATATACTACATAAATAAAATTAAACTACAAATAAACAAATACACAAATAAACTACGTAAATAGACTACTTTAAAC